ACATTTCTCATCTTTGATCAATGTTAACTCACAATTATTGCTGATGCTACTTGATACTGATCATATGGACCCTTTTAAGATAAAACCCTATCTTCTTTATTTTTGTCAGAAATCTAAAAGCAAGCAGGTTAAGGGGTTTTGTTTGCCAATGCAAAGACGGAACCATCTTTGTAAATATATTTAAGGGCATCGCCACTGTAATAAATTCCTGTGTCTATATAAGGGGCAACGAGATACTTGCTTCACCCATCTTTTTTTTTAAGTGGAATGGCCCAGAAGCGAGTAGATTTAATCTAGTGATGAACAAGTCAGATGAGGAAGTCAGGTCATGCGTAGTGGGCCATGAAAAACATGAATGCCTTTGTCAGTGGGAATTAAATAATAGTTTGTGACTATTTGAGAGAGGACACCTTGTGATTGATTCATACATGTAAAAACCCAGTTGCAACCTTGGGAGTAGCCGAAGAAAAATTACCCCATTATGAATGGTTTGTCGTGTTGATCTCCTAATGTCGATTTCACCTGTTCAGGGAGAGAATGCTGCGTGCATTGTGCAGGAATTGGAATCCGCATGACAAAGTGGCTCGCCTGACAGGCCCACGCGTTTGCCTGTTTAACGGCCCGCTTTGAAGTCGCCATTAGACGAAGCTTCCGCCTTTCGTGGCCTTGTCCTGCCTTTCCCAACTCTGTCAGTCTTTCCCCTAATTTGATGCTCCGTCGCTAATCAATACGCAAGTCCTGTCGTTTGTGTCCGTCAGCCGCCGCTCACCACAGCTCGTTAAAAAAAAAAAGAGAAAGTCTCAGTACACGCCGATTTGGATAAACATGCAAATTGAATAACGCGAACGGACCTCATACGATTAGCCCGAGCCCTGGAAGGCCATCAATGTAGGGGGGGGCTGATATTTCTTAAACAAAGTGCAGCAGCACGGAGCAGCAACTCGTAAAACAGAAGAAGCTGCATAGAAGGTTAGCAGGGAGAGAAGCTTTCGGGAAATGAAGTTAGTATTGTGATGAGAGGTGAGGAATGAATGAAACATGAGGGGTAGGTGAGCTGATGGACAGGCCATTCTGCTCCAATGACCACGGGGGGGGGAAGGCGAATAACGCCGTTAGCCATTGGGAACGAGACTGCTCGGGGAGAGTAACTCCCCGTGAGTCGAGGAAGCACTGAACTGTACACGCACCTGAAAAAATTGTACCTTGAAGAAAACGTCCTTTGGTAAAGGGTTTGGAAAATAGTTTTTCAACATCACGACTACACGGTTCCATCATGCTTAAGTTAATCCTGTTATCCACTAAAAATCAAGCACTAATTTTTTTTTGGGGGGGGCATTTGATTCAGCACCGTGCAGCCCATCAGTCATTATTTTACCCAAGAGATCTGAGTGTCCTAATTTTCTTTCAGAGATGCAAAGCTACTCATGACACTGGTTTTTCATACCATATTGGAAATGGGGAGATAAAGGAAAAATTACCAGCGAGTTGAGGAGCACACTGTCCGACATCGGTTCATCCTAACACGCTTTTCAGTGAACTTTTAATTCATTCAACGTTAATGGACCTCACAGGCTGCTTGAATTTTGCAGGGTAAAATATGATATCCCTGGTTCACTTTGTTGCACTTGCTGATTGATTGAAAGATTTGTCAAGTTTCCAGAGAAATGGTGAAGACAAAACTTACACTGTTTAAATGCAACTGATCTGTGAAAAATTTTCAGTCACTGATATTTTTTTTTCAAGAGGAGTGGCTTACCTGATAATGTGGGGTTTTCTCATAGATTTTTTTTTTCAACACAAGGATAAATTTAAGTAGGAAGTTGAAGGTGCGAAGAACATGGATTTGATTTTTTTTTTTTTGGAGGGAGGAGAATTCTGTCAACAAAGACAAAATGACATTTCAAGGTACATCTGTCATCAGGTGTTATCCTCTGTTCACATGATTGCCTCCTTTCAGATTCTCACAGTGAGGGAGGGAAGTCGCGGGCCAGAAAATATTGGCAGCTTTTTCCGGTGTTTGAAAATTATCGTCAGCCATCCCTGAGCTGATTCTATCAACTGCGGAGAAATCGTCTGTTGCTGGCTCTCGCCGCTGACAATCGGAAATCAATGGCAATTATGGCTCCCGGCTTGGCAGTCGTCCCCCCGGCAGTTACACTGGGGGGGGGGGAGTTTGCCTCAGTGGTTTGATGCCTGAATCCCCTTCTGTCATCTCCCCCAAAGGCTTGAGCACTTAGGATTGTTTTAGGTATTCCTTGCGTGGACATGTGAGCAAAAATACTCCATGTACTGACACTTAGGGATTGAGGACATTGTCAGGACTTGCCCAGGTCAACACCACTTGCCCATTCCCCACCCCCCCCCAAAAAAAAAACCCACCAGGATTAGGGGTTCCTTCTTTGAGAATGGCACTATCTGTTATAGGAGGAAATGGAGCTTATGAGGAAACTATCTACAGAAATCTGGCTTAGATAAAAATTGTTGTCACAGTGCCAGAAAAATTAGCATTTCCATTGACATTTCATACTTAAACAAAAACAAAGGAATGCCCAAACTACATACGGGTGTGAGCCCCACTCGCAGTGGAGTGAGTGCACTTGGTTGCTGCACTTTTTTTTTCTTTTTGGGAATTGTGCAAGGGAGTGATATGCTCCAATCGAGGAGAAGAGCACAGAAAGCAACAATAACCGACGGAAGAAACAAGGAACAATAAACCACGAAGAAACGAATGGGAAAAAAAGGGAGAGAGGGAGATGTGAAAGAAATGCGAGAATATTGAATGACAAAAAAATTGTTGATTTCAGAGGTGTAACGAGAGAGGGAGTGGCGAGACGGGGTAACCGAGAGGGAGCTGATGAACAGAAACAGGGAGTAGGGAAAGGAGCGAGTTGAAGAACATGGGGGAAATAATAGAGACAGAGGAAAGATTGAAGTCAACGACTTCAAGCAAAAGAAGTGAAGAGAAGTACTCTCAGATTAGTAGATTGAAGAAAAGATCCCAAACTTTTGATGCCCATTTTGTCTGAGAGAATTTCTATTCTATGCACATTTTTGGTTTCGTATGTTTATGCCACAAAAATTGTGGTATTTTAGGTTATTGTTTGTGGTTTTGCTTTTGCATAACGACCACTTGGTTGAACTGGGAGACTGATTTATCAAATCAATGCGATTTGTGTTTTATTCTAAGGCACTGAAACTCTCATTTCTTTCTGTGCAAGGACCCGGAACTGTCGGAGTGCACACGTGGCGTGCCCGGAACACCACTGCTTTACATGAATATGAATGCCATTGTCCTGGAGAAACCATCCCAGACTTCCCAGGACCATGCGGTGAAGCTCACCCAGCAGAGGGTGGCAACGGTGGACTACCAGTGGGATGCCCTCAAGAGACTGACAGGGCCCCAGGATGGGACGAGAGACGAGAGGAGGCCAAGACGACGACGAGCCAAGGAGCCCAACCCCCTTTCCGTCAAGAAGAAGAAAAAGAAGGCAACGCAGAAGGTTCTCGGAGAGGCAGGGGAGGGGCCACAGAAGGCCAGTAGGCGGAGGAGGCGAAGAAGGTCAAAGCTCACCGCACATGTCCAAGAACAATCGCGAAGTTCAGAAGTCAGCTGACAGGAAGGTTGAAAAGTGAATAAGGTTCATTAACCTTGAAGAAAGGCGTACATCGTGTGAAATTTAGGCCCTCCCATCACTCTTTGTTTAAACACAGCATTTGTAGCGGCAGTTAAGTAAATGTTTATTGGAAGAAATATTCCTCAAGTTCATATGTCACTTTATAACAAATGCGGACATGTCACAATCCCCATGCTATTGGTAATTTACCGTAAATATTTTCTCTACAACGACTGCCGCCCCTCGGCCCTATTTTTGAACCCCTCATTTTGAAGTGTCCATCCAGCACCCAATCTACAACAAGGGGCAAGCACCCACTCTCTCTGGCAAGGGGCCAGACTACAGCACTGGACATGAGTTCACTGACCCATCGGGCACCGACCTCCAAGCTGCAGGTGTACTGAACTGGCTGTATTTAGCAGCAACTTTCTGCACAATTGAAGACTCGTCTTGTGTTGGATAATTTTTCCGTTTTTTTTTCCTGCGAGGAGCCCGCTGTGTGGGAACCGATTTTGCATGCCAGCTAGGCAAAGTGTCTCTGCACTGTAATATTTAAGCCGGCAGAATGAAGACACTGCTCTAAATTAATGTTTGTTTGCTGTTTTTATGACTAATGTTCACGTATTTATGATGAACTTTGAGCATTTGCCAGTAACTGTACTTAAAGTAAACCCTTTGTTTTCAGGATGATTACCTTTTCAGCTTATTATTTTGGTTTTAAATTATTTTTCTTCTGTCAAAAATGGGCCAAAGAAGATCGACAAACATTGAATAAAACAGCTCAGAATGTCAACTCCTTCAATACTAAGTCGTTCTTTTTATTGTTATATTTCATCTGAGCTTTTGTTTTCACATAACCTATACTTCACTCGTCCAGATTTTATCAAAAACATAAAGGACAGATTTACTGTTAACATATAAAAAATCCCCCCAAACCAAAAAATTCCCACATTTTTCTGTGTACATTGATTGCATTTCACCACCAGAATCCTACTAAGAAAAAAATTGAAATTTCCAGTAATTCTATTTTTAAAGTCAATAAATTATTCTTAAATTAGAGTTTCATTAACCCTTCCACACAGCTCTACCTACATGTTATTTGCCAGATGTTCACTTTTCTCTGTCTCTTAAAGTGATAAGTTCCAGTGCTGTAAAAATTGAAGTCGTGGAATTTTACAAGTACAAGCCGCTCAAGTAGTCTGCAGTTATATTTCCACATTTTGCTTGCTCACTCAAAAAATGAAATTCCGTCGTGAAAAAAGATCTGTTTGCCTTGTTTTACATTCATTTCTAAACTGGATTGAAAAGATCCGAAAATAACAGAGACGGTAGTTCATGGTCTCTGAATATTCGCACAGTAAGCATATATCGCAAAGAAGAGAAGTTTCAGTAGAAAAATACCCTGTATCCGTTTCAGGAAGTGCGTTTAAGGAGAAAAAAAAATCATAAAGGAGACCGATATTGAGATTATCACATTGTGAAAGAAATAATGGAAACAAATCCCCTGCGGGTATTTTGAAACAAGCGTTAAAAACCGAATGAAACCCGTTCGAAATATTTGCACTTTTTATCATCCAATTGTCGTTTTTAATCGATTCCTTGACGAGTATAACCGAACACTTAATGATCGATATCTTTAATAAGTATCGATATCTTGATAAGTATCTACATGTACAACATTCTGGCATTAATGACTACAAGTCACGTGATACACATATTAACAATGACGCTATAAAGGTTCCATCGTTTTTTTTTTCTTCCTAATATTCAAGACTGAGAGTAGCACTCGAAGAGATATGTATAGAGAAAGAAAGAAAAATTCCGAGGAAAAAAAACACTTCGTTTTTATACAGTTATCTTTCCGCTTGCTACATACGAAACAATGGCGGTGGGTGATTGTTAGACTAGCCTGCCTAGTCCTCCTGCCAAGTAATTACTGATTGTACATTGTGAGTTATAAATGGACCGCACAGGCTAGTCTAGGATAAATTAAGTATTGACTCAACTAAAGACAATAATTACGTACAGTACAATATTCATAATACATCTGGCTCAACCTCAGTCACTCACACAAAATACAAAAATCTCTCGATTTGAAAAACGAACTAACCTTTATGATCGTTTTGTTATATTCCAAAGCATTCGTTTTTGGCAATGTTTTTCCCCTTTTACTCATACATTGCATGGATTCGAAAGCGCAGCGCTTTCTTCACATCAGTCCCTTTTGTGTGTGCTTGAAAAACCTATTCTAGATTTAGCTGTACAGTTCAACACAATAATCCATGAATTCTGTATTTCTCTTTTTATACCGGTAGCAATGGCTTCCGCATTTCTGGTGTACCTTTCTCAAACAGTACTTAGGCCTAGTTCGCGCGGCATTTTAAGGTTTTACCTCAAAAGAAGGCGGCAGAAATCGTCATATTGTTCATACAAAGAGGAAAAAACACCTTACCTCTACAATTTCTCTGATAAAGACGGATGATAACAGTGTCTCTAGTTACACACGGCTAACGAAAAAAAAACGAAATCCGCCATGACACCTCATTGAATTTGTTTAATAGCCAGAGCGCCCCCTAGCGACTTCATTTGGCGGCAATGGTCCCTGGAAACCTATCAGTTGCACAAATGATTTAAAAAACAAAATACGCCTATGACAAGACTTTACAGTAACCTACTGCTCTTACCAAGAAGTAGGAAGCAACAATTTGGCAAACGAGAAGTCACCTGAAGACAGCTTAAAAACTTTGTTAATTGGTGGGATAAATAACAGCTCTTTAATTAAAGAGCAATTATAAAAGCAAACACTTAAAATCCTACGTAAAACCAAACAAAAAGTCGTTGCACCATGTTTTGGTAAAAACGCTGAGTTGCTTTCGAACACATTTTACCCATTGAGATTTAAGCAAGGTAGGTCATTGCCGTTATCGAAACAAGGTATGGTACCAAGAGGATACGTGCCACTTTCATGTCAATTAATTGGTTAAACTCTTAAGGTAATGCCTTTAAGTTCATCAGAAGCCGCCACAGAAAAGCTCCGTTCATCTCTAGTCACAATCAACCAAACCTGGGTATTATGCAAATCACTGACGTATGCAGTGACGTGGCATACGTCTGCCGCACGTCATTGACATCCTTAAAACCCATTGGTTGCAAGGAAAGGATACTAATCTACGACACGGCAACACTTAACACGAACGAGAAGACGGGGGACGAGTCTGGTAGAGGCGTTTCGTATCAGCATCAGCTGAAGTCCAGACCTTAGTGAAGAGTTTCCAAAGTTGTGATGGCTATATGTCATTCCCACAGAAATAAAAAAGACCTGGTGAATGTAACTTACTGAAAAGAACCGGTAACCAGCGTAAATTTCCAAATCTTAAATTTGACCGACAGGGCGCCAGCGTATTTTGAAAAAAAAAATTAATTCGAACTCGGAACAGGTAAAATTATCTGGAGTTAACTATAAGCCGAAGATCCTCACCCCTTTTTTTGTTTTTTGTTTTTTTGTTTTTTGTTTGGCGCGAATGAAAGACAGCAAAAGAAATCGTTCAAAACAGTTTTGTGGTGAGTACGACGAGGTGAGACTCGGCTCATTACAACCACCAATTTCAACCTGAAACATTGCACGTGCACAACACAGCCGTTAAAAAAAATGGCTGAATAAAAATCAGCGGTTCCTAAGCTTTTACGTTCAAGCCTTCTTGTCCAATTAGAGGAAGAAAATATTAAAGCAATGACGGCAGTACTGTATTTACTTTCAGCCTTGTTTTTGTGGGACACCTTTTGGAAAAGAAATCTGCGTCCAGCAATTACCTTACTTCCAGAATCAAAATGCGCGCCTTTTTTTAACACTCTCACCACTCTTTTCGCGTTGTTCCACTAAAGTTTACCAAGCACATTTTTTTTCCCTCCACGAGTTATATATATATTTTCGATATACATTTGGCATTTCGTTTACCGCTAAAGGGGTGGATCTGCTTGGCACCTTTCGAAATTTAGTAGGTTTTGTATAAATTTTAACAAAAGCCTCAGACTACGCCCAACAATACTTGCTTAGCGTACACAAAACTCCACCTGCTTGATTGTCAAATCGCAATGTTAAAATACAAAATGAAACACTCTATAAGGATATAAAACAAAGGAAACAACACTTTCAAACAAGCCTCTTGCTTATAAAAACTACTATACCATATAAAGGTTCTCTTTGCCAGCCTAGAAATTCCTCTGTACTTCGGTACGCCTAATATACCTAAAGTTTCAGCAAAATGTCCTGACAACTGTCGAAAATAATCCGATTGGCCGAACCAACACTGGCGTCATCCAGTACCTTTTTTTGATTGGATAAACAGCCCATACGGAGTACACCAGCGATGCATAAATAATGCGACCTCCTCCGACCATTACGAAAGATTTTACAGACCGGAGTTGCCTTGTTCGGTGTATGTACCAAGGATATAATGTGCACTTTGAAGGCTGTCGAGCAATGTACGCTACCTACACAAGTCCAACTTTTAGTGGTTGAGACGCAGACACACATGGCATATCAGCAGGGAGCATACTGCACAATATTAGCACTGTTTGCCATCTCTTCACCAAGGGAGTCATTTCCAAGGTGCTTTTATAATTAGTCGGTGGGAAAAATAAGATCCTAGATTTACGAAGAGTCTTCCAAGAGATTATGGCAACACGTCCTTTTGTTTTTCAGTTCTCCGACGAGAAATTGCAGCATGAGCCATACACACTGTTTGTCTTTGGTGCATCTGCCCGGGGAACGTCATCCATCTTGGACGTCAATTGACACGTCTGCGGATGCGTGACGCCATTAAAGTTTTGGCGGGAGATTTGTGATTAAAAAAAAAAGATCCAAATGCCACGCTAGCTGAATTCACGACATCGTGACGTCGCGTGAGATATTGTGTAGATTTCTTACCATTTCCGTTTCCGGATCCAACATGGATGTTGGCAGTTCAGATTTGGAAATATCTGAAGTCCACCCTTTAATGGTACAGACAAGTCGCAGTCGGTACTCCAGAGCTGAACGCGCAGTTTACTCTTAAAACTCTGATCAATCTCTCTCTCCGTTTGTCTACCGTCTTGTACGGAGACTAATACAGCTGTGCTAGTCTCTCTCACAAGGCGTCTCATACGACCTCCTTGTTGCGGGGCTCGTCGGCCTTCTCGCCGTTCGTTTTGTTGGAGTTGGAATCGATCTTGCTTCCTGACGTGGAATGGGCCGAGTGCGGGGTGACGTTGGGGAATGCTTTGTCCATGTACTTAAGCATCTCGGTCAGCACGTTCTGGAGGGTGGCCATGGAGGCGGAGAGGGCCGGGGTGCCGAAGCCGTGCGAGATGAGGCTGAAGTGCGTCAGGCACCGCTGAATGGAGGGCTCCAGGATCGGCTGAGGCCTCGTGTTGCCGATCGGGGTGCGGTCCTGGCACAAGACGTCCTGCAGCTCCTTCAAGACTTGCCTGAAAAGAAAAGCAGACAGCAAAAAAAAGGTGGAAATTCAAACATTGGACAAGGACACAATGAGTTCCCATGAGGGATGCAGATATAAGTGTCCACGCAGTTTTTAAGGTGCCGTAGACTCAGATAACGTTAACTGTGACAATTTCCTTTGGATGTAACCGGAGCGCAGTCGGCGGTACAAAACGCTCTAAGACGAAGAAAATAGGACAGATAATTATTCGGGCAGGGAAATGTTGCCAAAAAACGTTGGCAAGTTCAAATTTCTGAAGCCGGTAAAAGGGCACTTCATTCAGAGGTGTCAGGCTCTGTCTGTAGCGCAGAACTGCGCAGAACAAAACCCAAAATTAGACAGGCGCGAGATTACGTCTGTGTGTGTGTGCGCGTGAAACATTCTGTCCGTTATTTGAACAGCGAGTGTGTCGGGAAAAGGTTTGCACTGGTGATGAGGGGAGTTCTTCTCGACTTTTATTGCCGGACAATCGATACGGGCGAGGCGTCTTCATTATCACCTGTCGTCGTTTTTTATGAACCTGTCCTCACAAAAGACCAAAGTACACGCCCGGGGTCATTCTCTGGAGGACGAACTTTCCCCCACACAGGCGGGGGGGGGGGGGAGAGTGACACAATAATTATTCGGTCTCTTTCTTTCCCCGAATTATTTGCCGAATTTGAGGTGCTTTTGAGGGGAAAAAGGAATGGATTTTGGAGTCTACTTCGTGCCACGACGGACCAATAATGGACATGCACTTAGCAGGGAGAGGGAGGTATTGTCCGGCGATCTACAACCGTGTGTACCTTTCATTCCTCGGTCGGTGATCACGATGGCAGAAACATGGGATGGCACAGCATTTTTGAGGAGACTAATTGCTTTCTAATAGTGCGCGTTTTTTTCTTCTTTTTTTCTTTTTTTTTTTCTTCGCAGGGGAACGAGTTTGTATCGTTTTCAAAGATCGAGACTTCAAATATTCCAGACCTGGCCGGTGACTCACCAAGAGAGTGAAGTAATTGAGTTTACGGCGTGTGCTCGCCATTATGTACCACTTGTCCGACTTTGCCAACTGCACTTTCCTAAATTCTATACAGAGTTTTTTAAAGGACAAAAAGGTAGACCGGTGCAAGGCATGAAATTGTATTTGCCACAGTCTAATTGTAGAAGTACGCAGCCGTGAGCAGCGCTGATTCAGAGAGTTGAGACTAAAATTAGGTTGCAACATTGTAAGGCATGTGAATGGTAGACTTCGTTCGATTTTCTGATTAGTGGCAAAAGCTTACATTCTTTGTATCTTCAAGTACCGTGGCTTTTTTCGCCCGTTTGCCATGTCGTAATACGCCATCATCATTCAATCATTTTTAGATGGCGCCATCTTGAGAAGAAGCTTGCCCTCTGAACGCTATAAAATCATCTCGTTTCCATCCGAGGTGTCTGATGGGGAATTTATAGGACTACGTAATAGTGGTCCGTGACCCCATGAGGTTGATTTCTGTACTACTTGGTTTGGAGCCTTTCTTGGTGTGACGAGATGGGGGGGGGACTTTTAGGGGAGGGGCCGATACATGGGCAATACTCACTTTGTGGCTAGGACCATGTTTCTTCTGGTGGGAACTTCAGTGGGATCATTGTGTTGCCTGGCGATGTACTCGGAGATCTGTCTGGCCGGGAACTCGGTCTCGCAGAGATAACCGTAGTCACGGGCTAAATGTATTGCTTCGCCTGAAGGAGGGAAAAACGGAGAGAGGAGAAAGAAATGATCAGATTGGGCCCAGCAACATTATTTTCCTCCAATGTCCCCCATTTTGATTGGCGGTGGCTTTTTTTTTCAACCTTAAGAACTCGAGAAGCCAACTTTTTTTGTTTCATCGACGGAAAACAAAATGAACAAAACTGACCAGTTCTGTTTGAAATGTGCTACCACAGAATCACGCAAAGAGAAAAAAACCACAAACAACATGAATTGAGTGGATAAAATATTCAGTCTTGGTTACGGTTATGTCCCTGGGTAATGACTTCAAAACCTCATTTTTCTCTGACTTCATCACCTTTTCGAAGTTCGATCTGTAATCTTCGAAATCAAGCCTGTCAAGAGACGGATACCGCTGTCATGCGGCTAGGGATTATTCATCGTGTGTAGCTGACGGCAAGAGCCGATTCCGTAGCCGGAAGAAAATAACTGACCTGGACGTGAGCCCGACATCAAAGATGGCGGCCCGCGAAGGACTACGGGAGACTTGAGTGCAAACGATTAAACATCTTGCGCAGGATGGGGAAGGGGGGGGTGCTATCCGTATGCCACAGTGGTACAAACGCAATAACCTATAACTTGAAATCCGGTATAACATTTCATCACGAAGCGGCAGAATGTGGACGCGATTTGGTTTGACAGGCCATCAAGATAGGCGCCGTCTCTACTCGAGCGCTAATCTTCATTTTGCCACTGAGTAACAGTCATCCAAAGAATGCCTGATTACAGTATGATACCCCTATAGTGTGGGGGGATAGATCTCTCTCCCTATCACGGAGCTATCTTAAGACCTACTCCCTGGACGCTCAATGGCCCTCCACTATACGCTCTATCCAAACACAGCTTTCTTTCTCCTGACCACAGAGCCACGATACAAAATATTGTATATTCAGCAAACAGCGCATTCAGTGGCGGCCACATCGAAACCACGATCACCATGGCAACCGCAACCGTACACGATGCTGCCTCTGCTTTTTCGTTCTGTTTTGCCGGGGCTGTTTTTTTTTTCTTCCCTTTTCCTTTTGAAATATCTTCCTCCCCCCCCCCGTTCGGCTACTTACCTGCCCGCGGGGTCTTTTCTCAGATATTTTTTACGCGCCCAATTATACTTCGCACGGCGTAATGTCGCACCGACAGGATGCATTTCGGAGGCAAGAAACATCGACAGAAGGGGCTGAAGAGTACATGCAAGTCTTGGTCTTCTCCTGATGCTTTCATGCGCGTCGTGATCGGCTGCCGGAAAAGTGACCGCCTTCGAATTGGTCAGTTATCTAACTTGTTTGAAACGCCAATTCAACAGGCGGCCGGTTCCAACATGGCGTCACCACGAGCCTGACCAGTCACACCCCCAACAGTTTCGCAGACTGTGTCTAGCGATCGAACGCGACTGCAACCTTATTCAAAACATAAGTCCTGTTTTAGTGCCTTCACTGAGGGACCATCCAATTGGGTTCAGTAATTCTACAGTGTCGTGTAAACTCTTCGCTTTTCACAGCTCCTTTGATTTTCGACGAACCGACGTAAAGACTTTATTCATGAGTCGGACATAAGAGAAATTGAAAGTGAGTTAACCTTTCATGTTTGAACGTTAAGAGTAGCAATAAAAAAGCAATTTCATGACGAATTAGTTTACCTTTTTCCTCTGATGAATATTTTCAAATTTTCAAATTCATGACTAAAAATACAAATATGAACTTTAGCCCCCCCCCAAAAAAAATAAAAACGTTTTTTTATTTGGTATGATACGATGTTCAACAGCTGCCAAACTTCCTTCATCGACTGGAATCCTGCTACTGTGAAATTTTAACGTGTTTTACATGGGGTACGGTTGAATTACATGTACATAGCCTACATTTAGTCAGGCATTTATTCCAGATGACATTTCTGTAATATATATTTACATCTGGGAACCAGACAAATCAGGTGGTCTTATGTCCTGTATACTTCAACAAGCTCACACTCCTTTTGAACAGCAAATAGCGAGGGATCCAATCTGTTACAGTGTTGACAGCGGCAGTATCTACGGGACATCGCGCATTAATACGTATCATTGTAAGGGGGGAAGGGTAAAAAATCGCGTCGCTGCACCACTTTTGGAGCCAACCCCCGACCAGAAATCAGAGACTTTTTTAGCCTCAAGTGTTCTAAGCCAGATTTAGAAAATATTGAAAGGGAGGCTTGGAAGGCACGGTAGTCATGAACAGTCTGGTGCCATCCTAATCGACACTTTGCAAAAGATTCGGGAAATAAGATCTTCCACGTGAAGAAGGTCTATAGCCCCGCCGCATCCACATCACATATAGGCCTACACATACACTCACTGTTGATTTCCTCGCGTGGTTAACCGAAACCTTCGTCTCCTGATTCTCAGCAAGAATAACACCCAGAAAAGCAGCAACAGGAATAGAGAAGCCAGAGCTGCATCAGCAACAACTAGCGGCTTTAACTAGTCGGCGAGAGCCGCGTGAAACCAACCTCTAAACCCGTCCAGTCCCCAAGTGCTGGTTGCTCTCTGCGTCCCCCTTCAAGACGCATCGTTCAAGCGTTCAATCCTGGCCCATCTAATATTAATCAAGGCGCATACGCGCATCAGCGGGGACAAGCTTTACGAGTGAGCGATGAAGCAGGTCGCGAACTCGCCGAGCGCGCCCGCTAACACGTCCGCGGGTCGCTGGCGGGGTACCCCGGGGGCCAATGAAGCCCGGGCCCCGCTGAGAGCCGCGGTTGTGGGGCAAACTGATAGAAGTTTCACCGGGCAGTGCTCTCTTTAATTTTCTCCGGCAAAACGGGGGAGGCCTAGATATTGGGGCTCACGGGGGATGTTTTTCTGGCAGAGAAGGATGTGTTGTGGATGGTATGCCTACGGGTATAACTAATTACTGCATTTTATCATGCTCACTTTTTTGACTGGTCTAGAACCTGACTATAAATAATTCCCTGTCGAGGTTTTTTCTTCCGCGTGAGATTTTTTTTTTCTTTTGGTGGAATGGTCGGGTGGGATCTCATGGGTATTTGACGCAGCTCGTTTCCCGGTGTTTACGGGCACAAGACCGGCAATGTGGAAACTGTGTCAGTGTGCCGATCGCTTTTTCTACCCAGTCACCTCTGTACATTTGAAGGTTTGTAGTCGAGAGACCCCCATTTCAATGCGTTCCTCGCTAGCCTAAGGGTTGATTGGGACGCGAAATTGTACTTGGATTCAAGAATTTGCCTAATCCCCGAAAATCACTGTCTCCTTAAAGCAGCACTGATTTAAAAAAAAAAGAAGGGTTAAATGTGGGTAACGTGCTATTTTGTACACAGCTTCATTTTTTCCTTTTTTTGTCTGAAAAAGCCGGTAATACGGAAAGGAATATGCATTTTCATGCGCGCTTCCTGCCTCAAATCGATGGCGTGCCTAATCCACAAAAATGCAGGAATTATTCAAATCCTCAATTTTTGATTCCGCGTTGTATATCCAATGCCGAATTTGTTTGTCAAAAACGAAATAGCTGGTCCTGTGACTTCCTTGAAAAATAAATTTGTTTCGATTTTCGGAAATGGATCTTCCCGTTAAACAGGACGAAAGCGTGTAAACGGTAGGCCTACGGCCGCGACAATGGAACGGTTGAACCCTTAGGAGGGTCGGGGGGGGTTGCTATTCCTCGTGCTGGAGGGTTTATTTGGCGGGTATGATCTCACTATGCGTCCCGAGCTGGACCAAGAGAGGGCGCAATTTTCCTAACAATTCAGGGCTTCGTTGGTCAGAACTGCACTTCGCTGGTTCGTGAACGACTTCGAAATACGTGCGTTACAGTCACATCGCTACCAGCAAAATGAACCCTCCCGACCAACCTGGCTCCGTTCAACCTATGAGGGGGTGCTTCTGCCCAAGGCTGGTACTCCCTCAGGGCTCTCCGTTTATTGGTACTGTTGTACATAGATACGAGAAATGTCGTAGACGGGGGATACATGCATAAGCCTATGCCGGCTGGATGCGAATTCGGAGATAATGCTGACATCGGTACTATCTGTTCACGACTAAGATAATTTATATTGAGAAATAGAACGTATTGTGTGCAAGTTTGTTTAGGAACAAATTCATCTGTAGCCGTGATAAACATTTCCGAATATTTCAGTACAACGTATACAGGAGTTGCAAACAATGGTTGATTTCAATTTTGTTCTCCAGATTACTGGATGTATTTGTGTAACTTCCTTTTCCTGTATGAGTTTACACGTCGGGCTGAATATAGATTCATGTATTCTCATCGGTGATGTGTACAGAGGGCGCACATCAAGCAGATGTATTAAGGATACCGTCTTCCAGATGGAGTTTTCTAACAGCTGAAGTGAGCTGTCGTGATGGCATTACGGGCAGAGGTCATGTACCGATCGTACCTCCCAGTTTTGATGTCATAGAACCCATATTTCTCTTCCTTTTTTTTTTAAAAATCTGTTCTGTTTCTTCCTGCTGACCTATTTCGACGGTCTAATTTGCGATGCGACGGAGGCTTACTTCTTTCCCCGAGATACCCTGTAGGCGTTCTTTTCTCGGTGATGTGCGCCCGATGCGGGGTCCATGCGCGCGCGGACGGTAGCGGCCACATACTGCCAAACCGCCCCGGCTGCCTGGCGCGCCTTAGGCGTCACACGTGCTTGTAGCGGCTGAGTCAGGTTCTCGTGCTGCGCGGTTGACGGGGTGTGAGTTTATAACGTGCAGTTCGAGTGCTGGATAAACTAAACGCACCCCCCCCATCTCTGTTCTTAAGCTCTGGGTTTATTAACATCTGATATCTGTGTACGACAGCGCTTACTCTGACAATCCACTGTGCTTTTTACGATGAAAACATCACCGACAAAAGGGTACAGTTCTCAGTAGTGGAGCATCAGTACCAAACCATGAAGCAATTTATCGCCACGCCACGTTTCAGGCAGTCGCCTCCGGGCAACCGAAGAAAATATAGACATTTTTGTTTTGAATGACAAATTG